AGTATACCTTATTACCTTTAAATTATTCTTTAAGCTTTACTATTAGAGTATTAATATTACTTACTTATTAGTAAAAAGTAAAAGTATAATACTTTTATAGTTTACCTTAAAGTATTACTTAAATTACTACTGTATAGTAGTTTTATATTATATTTACCTAGATATAAAAGTTATAAAATAATAGTAATTTTAACTTAATAGTCTTATACTAGCTACTAGTATACTTTATAGCCTAGTTATTAGAGGATATCTTTATAAAGCTACTTATTTACTTTAGTGTTAGCCTTAATATTACTATTAATATTACTATAGTTAATAAAAGCTCTTGTAGTAGTATAGTAGTTATTATATATAGGCTATAGATTTTAGCTATTATATAAGGTTTTAGTGTTAATAAAGGCAGTAGTAAAGTAAAAGTTAAGTTATTATAAGAGGTCTAATAGCTAATTACTAGTAATAAGTATACTTTAGCTAGTTTTTTACTATATAGGATTATATTATAACCTTAAATATTCTTAATAAAGTTAAGGTCTTTAAAGTATAGTTTAAAGTTATATAATAATTTTTTAATAATAGTAATTATCTTATTAGTCTAGTAAGTGTCTTTCTTTTATTAAAGGGTATTAAATATATATTAGGTAATTAATAAGTATTTACTATAGTTAACCTATATACTATAATTAATAAAGAAGTTATATAGGCTTATTAAGACCTTTTAGTTAATTACTTTAAAGTTATTTATAGACTATTTACTAAAATCCTTATAAGTATAGTAAAGTAATTTACTACTAATATAGTTATAATACTTATAACTACTAATATAAAATATAGTAATAGTGTTAAGTATAAAAGCTTATTACTTCTTTATAAAGTTAATTAGTAACTTCTTAATATAGTCTTTTCCTTATTACTATAGAAGAATATACTATATAAGGTTAATAAGTATAGTAAAGATATTATTAATTACTACTACTTATTACTTTATATTAAGTAGTATATTATACTTACTATAAACCTTTTCTTATTACCTTATAAGTAATAAGGTAATAGCTTATAACTTTTACTTACTTATAAACTTATTATACTTACTTATCTTAGCTTAGGTCTTTTACTTATAGGTATAGTATTATTTACTATTACCTTCTATTAGCCTAATAACCTTTTAAATATAGGCGTTTCTTTTAGTAGACTAAAAAGTATATATATTTATTAGAGAGATTACTACTAGTAGTATAGATAGTTAAAAAAATTACACTTTTATAAGTAAATAACTTAAAGAAAAATAATAGGCTATTATATTAGCTACTTATTAATACTATTAGTTAGTAAAAGAAGTATATATATAAGAAAAAGAAGTTAGTAAGCTAAGAAGCTTATAATAAATAAGATATAGTAAATAATTACTAGTTAGCTATAGGTATATAAAGTAAAAGGTTTTTTATAGTTAAGAATACTTCTCTAAAGGTAATAAAGCTTATATAATAGATATAAATTAATAAGGTTTTTACTAGTTAAAGAGACTAGTTATAGATCTATTAATTAACTTATTATAATAGGTAATTAGTATAAACTATTATAGTAAAGGTATTTATAAAGGTGTTTTTTAGTACTTACTTACTCTAGGTATATAAATAATTAACTAGTAATAATTACCTCTTCTTATAGTCCTTACTAATCTATAGTTTAAATAGTAAAGTTAACCTATATAGTTAATAATAAAGTTAACTACTAATTAGTATTAATAATACTAAAGGATAAGTTAATATAGTTAACTATATATATTAGTAGTAATTAATAAATAATAAAGGTAACTATAGTTCTTTATTATATATAAAGAAAAAAAGGATGATTATTATAAGTTAGCTAGTTAAATAACTAACTAATTACCTATAAATCCTTAGAGAATCTATAGCTAAATATCTAAGGATTTACTAACAATAAGTTATTAGGGTTAACCTAATAACTCTAATATTTATCTATAATAGTTAACATTATAACAATATAGTTTTAAGCTAAAAAAAATTAGTATATATAACCTAAATAAGTAATAAAAAAATTACTTATAGTAGTAGTATTAAAGATGTCTTTAGTAAATATATCTTAGGTATATATAGCCTAGTTAAGCACCTAGTAATAACCTAGAAGTAAAGTAAAAATCTAAGTAATAAGTAAGTAAAAAATAAATAGTACTAAGAATATATAAAGAAAAGTTATATAAGGCCTAAGTATAAGTACTTACTATTAGTATAATAAGTATATTATATACTTTAGCTTAAAAAAAAAGTAAGTAAAAAATAAGTAATAATAATAATAAAATATACTACCTTAGTTAAAGTAGTATTTAGTAGCCTTATTAGTATAAAAGTAGTATATATAAAGTATATAAAGTATATTATATACCTTACTATACTTATAGTATATATAGCTTTTTTTCTTAGTAAGCTTTTATATAAATTTTATAATAAATAAAAGTAATAAGTAAGTAGTATAAAGTATACTTTTATACTACCCTTAAAAGTAGTAAGGCTATTTTTTAAGAGACCTTTAAGAGGGCCCTTAGAAGGCTTAAGAGGACCCTTAGGAGGCATTATCTATAAAATAAAATATTAGTGCCTAACTAGTAAATAAGTAAGTAAAATAAGTATATAGTAATAGTTAAGTAAAAGTAAAAGTAAGTAAGTATTTAAAATTTCTATATAAATATTAGTATAAGATTATAAAATAAGTATAAAAAGTACTATAAATATATAACACTTATAAAAAAAATTATAAAATACACGTTTACTTAAATATAATAATAATAAGTTAGTAAGGCTAGTAAGTATAGTAAAAGTATAAAGAAAATAATAAAATTATAATAAAAAAATCTATATAGTTAATTTAAGTTAAAAAAAAATAAAAAAAATAAAAAGAAAATAGTTATAAAAAGTTATTTATATAGGCCTAAGGAGGCCTAATTTAAAAGGAAAGTATATCTAATATAGAAAATTAAAAGAAAAAGAAAAACCTTTTTATATTTACCTAGGTTTAAATAGGAAACTAGAAGAAAAAGAAAAAGCCTTTTATGCCTACCTAGTTTTATATAATAGTAATAGTATATAAGACTAAGTAAAGAAGTTATAGTAACACTATAAAAAAAGAAATTATATAAAGAGAATATATAGTAATATAATAGTATATAAGAGGCTATAGGAGCTTATAGTGTAGTAAGGTAGTAAAGAGAATAGTACTAAGGCTAGCCTAGTCTAAAGAGGCTTCTAGGACAGAAGCCTAGAGGAAGAGAGCACTATATTAAGGATAGGCTAAGCGTAGGTTAAGTATTATATAACACTAAATAAGTAAGGTATATAATATAAGTATATAAGGTATATAAGGGGGTTATATACTTAAAGGGCGTATAAAAGTAAAGTAAGTGTATATACACTAGGAATACTTAGGGAAAAAAAAAGAAAAGAAAAAAAAGAGTAGCTTTTAGCTTTAGTAATACTATATACTTATCTTTACACTTATAGTATATTTACTTATTACCTTAGTTACTTACTATTATTTAATAGGTTAACCTAATAACTTTAATATTTATCTATAATAGTTAATATTATAATAAACTTACTATTATTAAGGTAAAGAATTATTAACTTTATATAGAGATAAAGATACTTAGTAAGTACTAAAAGCCTAAAAAGACCTAACTATATCTTAAAAGATTACTTAATATAGCTAAAGTAAAGGTATTATAAAAAAAAAGTTATTAAAGCTAAAAGTAAAGAAATATCCTAAAAAGAAGGTTATATAGAGAGTAATAAATTACTTATATAATAATATAGTAGTTATAAAAAGACTAAATATAATACATAAACCTATAAGGTAGTTTAAGATAATAATAATAAATAAGGTAATATGCTTTTTTAATTAATTTTATATAATCTAGTTAAATTAACTTATTAAAATAATAAAAAGGTAAGTAAATATATATTACTTACTATAATATATAACTTACTGTATATATATATCTTACTATATATATATATTAATAGTTAGTATTATAATAGTATTAGTTATACTAAAAGATAACTTAATATAGTTAAATATATATAAGAGTAGTAATTAATAAATTATTAAAGTAACTATAGTATTTATTATATATAAAGAAAAGAAAAATAACTATTATAGATTACTTAGTTAAATAACTTACTTTTTACTATAACTCTTTAGTATATCTATAGCTAATTATTTAAGAACTTACTAGTAATAAGTTATTAAAGTTAATTTAATAACTTTAATATTTATCTATAATTATTAATATTATAATAAATACTATAACAGTCTATAGTAAAGTAAAGTATTTAAACCTTACTTTAGCCTTAGTCTTTCTAGGTTAATAAGCCTAGATAATATAGTGTAGTCTACTTAGCCTTTTAATAAGTCCTAGTGTTAAAATTAGAATTTCAAATAGCTATTAATTAGATAAATTAATCAGTTTAAAAAATTTTTAAACTCTAATAATAGTCATAGTTATTGTTATTCTTCATTAGTTAGGTTATATTCAATAGCAGTGGTAGATTTAAGATTTAGGTATACACTATTACGGAGTTGAGTGTGTTGTGTGGCCCTACTCTAACGCTCGGGTACGTCTACAACCTCAAGAGGGACCGCCTTGTAAGTGTACGTCAGTACAAGTATCCTTCCCTAGCCTGCCATTCTAATCCTTCCTATTCTGACAGGTCTCCACTTTAGCTGATTCCTGCCACATTGCTCTCAAGCCACTAGTTTTGGTCTAACCCTATCCCTCTTGTCGAACGTAGCAACTCGAAGCTATTGTATCGTGTCCTGCACATAGCTGACCGATTCTCAACGCCCAACCACTCTCACGCGTAGCCAGCCAGAGGATTAAACAGACGACTTCCTTGTGGCTTTCGCTCTCAATACACAATTAAACCAGTCACTAATCCGTCAAACACCCAACCCTCCGCGGTCGGCTATTGCATCCCGCCCAAGTAATAATGGACTACGAAGCTCTCAAAGAGCAGTGGAGCGAGGTCGAGGACCGTGATGGTGTTCGTCTCAGTTGGAACGTTTTCCCCAGCTCTCGCATGGTATGTTGCACTTGTCACATCTTCGACTCGGCCCCAATCACTGACAGTTGCGTCTGTAGGAAGCGTCACGCCTTGTCGTTCCTATCGGTGCTCTCTATACTCCTCTCAAAGAAAAACCCGACACGCCTCTTCTCCAGTTCGAGCCCGTCACTTGCAAGCAACCCTGCCGCTCGGTTCTCAATCCTTTCTGGTGAGGAAGTACACCTCCCACCATGTTGAGTCATACTAACCCCTAGTTTTATAGCTCAGTAGACGTACGCGCTCGTCTATGGATTTGCCCATTCTGCCTCTCGAGGAACCCCCTCCCGCCTCATTACAAAGACATTACGGCCAATGCCATCCCCCCTGAGCTGCATCCCTCCAACACCACAATAGAATATCGTTTATCACGCCCGGCACCAAGTCCTCCCATTTTTCTCTATGTAGTGGATACCTGCCAGGAGCAGGATAGCTTGGCTGCGCTCAAGGAGTCGCTAGTCATGAGCCTAAGTCTTCTCCCCGAAAATGCGCTTGTCGGGTTGATCACATATGGGACAATGGTATTTGAAATTGTGCAAGTCGTTAAGCTGTGATGACAACTGCTGACCTGGGCAGGCCCAAGTCCACGAGATTGGTTATACCGAGTGTGCCAAGTCATACGTTTTCCGTGGTAACAAGGACTACTCTGCGAAGCAGGTCCAGGAAATGCTAGGCTTACTATCTCCAGCCATGCGCCCTGGCGTGCCTCAGCAACAAGCCGGAAGACCAATGCCAGCTGGTCCTGCGTCACGATTCTTGCTGCCCGTTCAGCAGGCCGAATTTCAACTGACAAAGGCGCTTGAACAACTTCAAAAGGATCCCTGGCCCGTTGCCAGCGACCGCAGGAGCCTGCGATGCTCTGGCGTAGCTCTCAGTGTGGCCGTGGGACTACTCGAGTCCTCTTACCAGCATGCTGGTGGCCGCATCATGCTGTTTGCTGGCGGCCCGGCGACTGAAGGACCGGGCATGGTCGTTGGTCCTGAGCTACGAGAGCCCATTCGATCACATCACGATATTGATCGTGACAACATCAAGTACTACAAGAAGGCCCTTAAGGTGTGTAAATCAGCATAGATCTCTCCAAAATGTCAAACTAACGCAACCTTCCAGTTCTATGACAACCTAGCCAAGAGAACTGCACACAATGGGCACATCATCGACATTTTTGCTGGCTGTCTCGACCAAGTTGGTCTCCTTGAGATGAAGGGGCTCTGCAATTCAACTGGCGGTCATATGATCCTGACGGATAGCTTCACCTCGTCTATGTTCAGACAATCCTTCATCCGCGTGTTCGAAAAAGACGGCGACGACAACCTGCTCATGGGATTTAACGCCACGCTCGAGGTGCTGACGACCAAAGAACTCAAGGTCACGGGCTTGATTGGTCATGCCATTTCGCTCAACAAGAAGTCCACATCGGTAGGAGAAACGGAGTGTGGAATAGGCAATACGTGTTCTTGGAAAATGTGCGGTATCGACCCAAACGCCAGCTACGGTGTATACTTTGAGATTGCAAGCCAGGGTGGTCCTTCGCAGCATCAGCAGACACCTCAGAAGGGCATGATCCAGTTTCTCACATACTACCAGCACTCTTCTGGCCAGTTCCATTTGAGAGTAACAACAATTGCCAGAAATCTTAGTGGACCAGCTGGCGACCCGGCGATCGCACAGTCCTTCGACCAGGAGGCTGCCGCAGTTCTCATGTCCCGCATCGCTGTTTTCAAGGCTGAGGTAGACGACGGACCTGATGTTCTGCGGTGGGTTGACAGAATGCTCATCAGACTTTGCTCCCGTTTTGCGGACTACCGCAAGGATGACCCGTCATCATTCAGATTGGAGAAGAATTTCACCCTATATCCGCAGTTCATGTTCCACCTGAGGCGAAGTCAGTTCCTTCAGGTCTTCAACAACTCCCCCGACGAGACGGCCTTCTACCGCCATGTTCTCAACCACGAGGATGTGAGCAATTCGCTCATCATGATCCAGCCCACGCTAGATTCATACACCTTCGACCAGGAGGGTGGCCAGCCCGTTCTTCTGGACTCAACCTCGATTCAGCCTACTCACATCCTTCTTCTTGACACATTCTTTCACATACTTATTTTCCACGGAGAGACCGTGGCGGATTGGAGAAAGGCAGGTTACCAGGATCAGGAGGGCTATGAGAATTTTGCCTCATTGCTTGAGCAACCCAAAGAGGATGCCAGAGTACGTACCCGGAGTGGGATATTTTTGAAGATGCCTAGTTGACTAACATTACGTAGGATCTTATCACTGACAGATTCCCGCTTCCGCGGTTCATTGTGTGTGATGCGGGAGGATCACAAGCCCGATTCTTACTTTCAAAACTCAACCCCTCGACAACGCACACTACTGGTGCATATGGCGGCGTGGGCGCGCAGAATGCGCAGACTATCTTCACTGACGATGTCTCTCTGCAGACCTTCATGGACCATCTCATGAAGTATGACCAGTTCGCTTCCTAACTTTGCTAAGATTGATTGGCTAACAGTGACGTCCAGACTTGCCGTCAGTGGCACTAACTAAGCAGATGACTTGTAATCACGCCGAGCCTGAGGCGAGTCGAGAACGAGTAGGGCACGAGACAGAAGGTTTTTGTCACGTCTATATATCGCTTATCAAAGGTGCAGTAGAGACCTGCCTGGCGTTGTCTAGCTGTAGTTCATTCGACTTAGCCCAGGCGTATTAACTCCAAAGTCTTGTTGTTACATACTGCTGGGGGTGGAGAGGGGGGACTCTGCATCGAGCCAGACCGTTGCCTGTCGACCTTTGCGGTCTCTTCTGTGATGGCGGTTTCTATATACACTACTCGATGCAATAAGAAAGGGTCTTTGTGTTGGTATGGGAGCAGCAAAACTATAATGACGTGTGAGTAGTTGTCATTGAACACAACCGATTTGACCACTAGGTGAGTATTAGCGTCATCTATGACCATCCACGATGGCGTGACATTTTGTTGATAGAAGAAGCACGGAAGGGTGGAATTGCAATTTAATAAATTCTACTGGATATGCCCTGTCGGTACTTATGTATCTACCCCGCCCCCACCAACGCAACTGCTCATAAAACACAGACGTGCCTCTCAATAGGTGGCTGAACTTCATGCTGCTTGCGGGACAGTGCGGGTCAATGCTATATATACCCGGTTGGCCATGTGGCTTGTGCTTGTGTCAGTGGCTTGTCAGAACAAAAATTGGAAAAACCCAAGATCAAAAGAAAATAATGAAGGTACACGTGACTTGGGGGACACTTGGACCACTCTCCCTTCCCTGCAGAAAGCTCAGTGATTGGTCAAACTCTCGTTAAACCCGTCAAAGCCACTGGAGGTGTGGCTCAGGTCTTTTATTCCCAATTTGCACCTGCCCTACGGCGCACAATCTGGATTATCTCGATTTTTCCCCCGTCCTCTTCTAGAGTCCAATTCTTCCTTCGATCACCAACTTTCTTACCAGACCCCAGATTCGAGAGCAGCCACAATGCGTATGTGCCTCCTTTGTCGCCGGTCAGCCTGTTACTTTGTTTGCAAGATGCTAACGTTGGATTCTGCTTGTAGCTCCTAAATTCGATCCCAATGAGGTCAAGGTCATGTTCGTCCAACCCGCACTCTGCCGTCCAGTCAAGGAAGAAAAGTTGCTAACCTAGTATATGAATGCAGTCACCTCCTCGCCACTGGAGGTGAGGTCGGTGCCTCTTCCGCTCTGGCCCCTAAGATCGGTCCTCTCGGTCTGTCTCCCAAGAAAGTTGGTGAAGATATCGCCAAAGCCACTGGTGACTGGGTAGGATGCGAACCTTTCAGTGTGAGCACCTTTCGGCAAGAACAACACTAACAGAGATCGTTTCACAGAAGGGCCTCCGTGTGACGGTCAAGCTCACCATTCAGAACCGCCAAGCCGCTGTCTCCGTCGTCCCTACCGCCTCTTCCCTTATCATTCGTGCCTTGAAGGAGCCTCCTCGTGACCGGAAGAAGGAGAAGAACATTAAGCACAACAAGTCTGTGCCTCTTGACGAGATCATTGAGATTGCGAGAACCATGCGCCACAAGTCCTTCTCCAAGTCGCTGGAGGGTACTGTCAAGGAGATTTTGGGAACAGCCTACAGTGTTGGATGCCAAGTCGATGGCAAGACCCCTAAGGCAATTACCGAGGCCATCGAGGCCGGTGAGATTGACAGTAAGTCCCCTGTATCCATGGCAGTGCTGAATTATCCAACTGACATGAGTTGCACAGTCCCCGAGGAGTAAAGAAGGTCAATGGCTAGATGGACACTCTCGCATGACTTCTGGAGTTTAGGAATGGTTCTGCATTAAGGGGACTACCGAAAAGGGATAACCTTGGGCAAAGAAAAAATAAGACTTGCCAAATGACCAAATCAAATGACCAACAGATACTTGCCGCCTCCGTCTTTGGCGACCCTCAAAATGAGTGATGCGATGGCCGTGACGAATAGGCCCTACTCTTCCGTGGGTACCTTTCCATTTGATTATAGAGTATTGAGCGTGATTATACATGCTGCCCAGCATTAATCGTGGCTTTTCGCCCACGAACTTGGGCTTGGGCTCACAAGTGTATTTACTACCATCGAAGGAACCCTTGTCTCAACAACTTTCAATTGTTTGCTAGGGCCCGAAACCAACTTCTTGAAATTTGCCGTCCTTTGATGTTTTGCTTTTGTACTGTAATGTCGATGACACTAGCAAGTCATGCTAAGAGTAGATAATACCGTCCACCTGCGATGGCCTCAAGGATAGTACAAAACGAATTTTGGTTTATTTCGGAGGCACATGGACTTGGTTGGCCATGGGTTGTAATCCATCCACCTTCTAGGAAACAATGGACGCGGCCATAAATCTGAGACATAGCCAACGTACTCCGTACGTCCACATGAATGCATATCTACACTATACCTGATCTATCCTGCCATGTGTTCATAGATAAAGCAAACCAAGAGGTATGGAACTGCTGGAGAACAGACGCCTCTAGACCCAGACTAGAACAGACAACACGGAAGCGGTGATATATGTAGAAAAAGACAGGGTAGTACACGCAAGTCGAGGCAGCATAGCCAAACCCACGCCTGGAACGACTGCCTCAATGATTCCATACATTTCGTCCTGTCATCCAGCACCAGGCAAGTGTATATCTTGAAGAGCAATCAATGTTCGATATCCAAAGTACACAGAGGAGTCGGGGCTAGGCGTTAAGCAGAAGAACTAGACATCGGATTGGTATTAAAAAGTGATCCAGGGGGCATGCATCCCTACCATTTCATTACTATCTAGGCAGCGAGGCAGAGAGGAAAGGCTTCAAATGGTGCTGAGCAGAGTAAATCGGCGAAGAAACGAAGCCAAGACGGTCGCTTACTGTACCTTATGCGTACTTATAGACAACCAAACTGGGAGGCCCACCCCTGTGCGCATACAGAGTAGGTACGATGTAGTACATCGTAGGTATACTACTTACCTAGGTAGTGGATACCATATCCACTAAGTACATTCGGCCCTGCTTCGGTACCGTGTACTACCTACTTACTAGGTAGGTAGGTAGGCATGCATGTTTCGCTCTCATAGACTTTCCTTAGACTACCACACTGTCCACCGAAGAGACAGACCTCATCCATACTGATAACGGCATTCAACCCGCGGCTACCATACCAGACCTAGCGCTGCAGATGCAGGCTTGTGTGCTGACCTTTGCGTACGCCGTACAGGCATGCAATTTAAGGACAACCATCCCTGACAAATCCAGGACGCTGGGGTACGTACCGTAGGTGGTACACATCCACGTCACTTCAGGTCGGAGACCAAACGCAGGCAAGCTGATAGGTACACTACAACGGCAGGCAGACAGACAAGTGGAAAAGACAGGGAGAGCGCCCTTGGCAGGTTCTCGAGCGCAGATCGAGATGAATCGAACAAGTTAATGGGCATTTGGCCTGGCACAAGAGTGTGCTCTCCTTAGCCAAGGCCACCCTAAGAAGTTGCGCTGCCAAAAATCACTACCTCGGGCTACCTCAGGCCATAGCAAACCGGACTGGATCACTTCCCTCCTTGCCTAAAGTGACAGCCACCCCCATGCCCACGCCCACAGCTACCTCCTCCATCTTTACCGCCATCGTACGACTGCCGCTACAGTACTTTGGCAGTGACACTAGTCGCATAGTTTCATCGTTTCGCACTTCACCTTTCTTTTGCAAACGTCCATCCGTTGACAGAGGACCTCACGCTATTCTCGTAACCTCCAGTCGCGCCACTACCGCCGCCGTTGTCTACCCTCATCCTAGGTACGGACTTACTCTTGCCACTTCCCGTTCCGACCGAAGACCCGACCGAAGACGTCCCCGTCGTAATTGCGCCGAATCGAGGACGAACCTCCATTACATCCTTCGCCCTATTCCCTACCTCGCGTTTTGCGCCTCGAAGCTAAAGGGGAGGTGCAACTTCAAGCACAACAAGGCCATATTGGCCGGTGGCACTGGTGTCGGGCATTGGCATCAATTGCCCTCACCACAAGGCAGCCCAGATGCCATGCCCGTCAGCGGGCCAGTAAGCCATGCTTTAGCCAGCAAGCAATGACAACCGGTTCTCGGATCACTGTATCCAGTCTATTCTTCGCCTTGCTCCCACTTCGTGGACTCTACTCCTTCATCTGTCTAACCGCCGCATGCCATCTCGGAGCGCTTTCTCTTTCTCTTTACAGTATAACTCATGTTGCCGCAAGTACATATGCACCATATGGTGCAACAACCGCCAAACTTCGATGCTCTTCCAACTCAGCAACAGCAGCGGCAGCAGCAGCAGCCGCAGAGCCATCTACAACACCAGCAGAACCAGTACCACCTCTCTCAACCCAACGCCTATTCTTATGATCAGCATCTACGCCGCTTGCCGGCCGACCCTACAAACCCCCAGTACTGCAACGGCAAAACTCCAAGATCCATCCCGATCCATACTTCACACCCAAACCAATCTTTCCAGCGTCGAGCTGCCACCGTCGCTGGGCAGTCTCATTTCTCCGATGGTCCCGAGCATCAATTACGACGCAAGACACCGAACGGTACCGTCGACGCGGGCTATGATGGCTCTCTCACACACTTCGCCTCGGGGCCACCACCCCTAAAGCAAATGATACTGCCCGCCGCGCCAACAGCCTACAGCGCGAACCGCCTTTACCCCACCACAGACCCGAACCGCCTTCCTAGATTGACACATGTAACTCAGATCCGCAGTGCTAAGAATGCCTTGCGCGATCGGGTGGGCGATGGCTTCAACGTGCCGCCTCCAGCCCAACAACAATGGTCACTTGGACAGGATATGGCACACCAGTCATTGCCTACCGGCAAGCTTTCCGAACCTCGCCTCATCCCGGGCTCTTCATTGCATGACTTCAGTACACCAGAAATGTCCGCGTTCCTCGGCTCTGCTTCTCAGCTTCGCCCAAGGCCTGGGATGTTCACTGCCGGATCCTACTTCCCGGGGGCCCTTCCTGCGGATGATGCCGGTGCCATCACTCCTGGACTTCTGCAGTCAGCAAACCCTTGGTTCTCGACGTACCAGCACCCGCAGGGGCAGAGCTTTGTGGGTCCCCCGGTGCATCATACGCCGTCGCCATCACCGTCGATGTACGACTGCCGCTTCTCTAATATGCATAATCAAATGCTAGGACCATTGGCTAACCTCACCCTGCCGCATCCTCACACCCACTTTTCGAACTACGGTTCGGGCTTCCTGCAGCCGGCCCAGTTCAATTTGGAGGCTCTAACCCTAGAAACGCCCCAAGCTATCAGTGCAAATGGTACAATGAACCAGCCAAACCCATTGGGAGGGTTTAGAGAAAAGGTGCTCGCTCAAGCACATCGGAGCTATGTCGATCTGCTTGCATATCTTCATCACGGGCGGAAAACTCAGCAACTCAGGCCTGGTTCAGCCTTGAGCACTACGTCGAGAATGGTGGTATATCCCAAACCACCTAAACAGCCAATCGTTACTTTAGCCCCAAACCTGTTCTTCCCTGGAGATGCCACTATGATAGCCAACGCCAACCTGACAAGTAACCAGGGCAACATGCTGGTTGGATCTTCAGGGAGCAAACCTCCACTCACGTCTCAATCATTCGGCTGGGACGGCGGTATGGCGGAGTTCAGGAGTGGGTCCTTTCCTGTCGCGAGCTCAGGTGGCTCACTATTTCCAAATCAGCTTTCGAGGGGCTCACCTCTCGCAAATGCCAAGAGCTCTTTGGAAATTCTAAGCCATCTCTGTGAGCAGAGTGACTGGAAGTGGATTGACGGCGTACTACTCGGAGGCTGTTTGCACTATGGCTTAGAGCATTTTGAGGAGGCTTTAGAATGGTTTGGCCGTATTACTTCACTAGAGCCCAGGTATGTCACCCCCGGTCCGGTAACTACGGCTCGATCATGAAGTTATGCCACTAAATGAGCCTTGTTTGCTGACTTGTTGCATAGCCACGTAGAAGCTATTTCTAACATGGCGGCTACTCTTTACTGTCTCAACAGACAAGATGAGGCCGAAAGGTGCTGGCTCAAGGCAATCAAGACTCGACCGCAATATCTCGAGGCTGTGGAGCATTTAGTCGGTCTCCTTTACAAGAAGAAGAGCCTCGACGCCGTGGATGTCATTGGCTTCGTACAAAAAGCCTTGAGACTGCCGGTGGATTCAATGGAGCATACTGCATCCAGGTCCTCTAATACTCCAGCAGATGTATTAGGCAAGCCGGCATTGATCTCTTTGCACGAAAACCAGTCTCAACCTGGATTTGGCTCGAGTGGTTATGCCATTCCTGGCACTGAGAATGGCCGCATCCTCGCCCTTGTTCATGCCAAAGGAACAATGCTATACAGCCAGAAGGACATTGCGGGAGCGTGCGAGGCTTTTGAAGAAGCAGTGTTGATAAGCACCGGCAGGCGAATGACCTCAGTCCACAGACTTGTGCGGCAGATTCAACAGGTCCTTGCTCCAAATAGCGGTATTCAGGGTATTACTGACACGGTAAGCTCATCTCGTCCTTTGCTGTTGCCTCCTGAAAAAGCGAGGCGCACCGCAAAATTGGTCTTCTCCAACAACGGCGACCTCCCGGGCCTGAAATTTGTCCCCGAGGGTGGCCCTAAACGAGCGGCCATTCAAACCACGAGCAATTCGTTACTGTCGCTTGCCAAGATATTTCAGGATGCCATGTCGTCGGGGTCCCCAGCAACGGGCCTTGCTAGGAAGTCAACCGGAGTTGGCGATATCCTGGCTCTTTACTATCTATCATTGTCCTTGCAAGAGAGCCCCTCTACTGCCAACAATGTGGGCATCCTGCTCGCAAGCGTCCAACAAACCGCAACGGCCACCTCTCCCGGGACACTGTCGTCTCTGCCCAACATCCCCGGTATCCCGCCCGGCAGTGGACTTGCTCTGGCTCTCGCATACTACAACTATGGCCTCACCCTGGATCCCAAGCATGTTCACCTGCACACTAATCTTGGCAGTCTTCTCAAGGATATTGGACAACTCGACCTCGCGATTCAAATGTACGAACAGGCCGTTCAGTGCGACGGCAACTTCGACATTGCTTTGACGAATCTCGCCAATGCTGTAAAGGATCGCGGACGCATCAGCGATGCCATTGCATACTACAAACGGGCTGTTCGCTCCAATCCGGACTTCGCCGAGGCGGTTTGTGGGCTTTCCACAGCTCTAAATTCAGTGTGCGACTGGAGGGGCCGTGGCGGCGCCTTGTTGCAGGGTGGTCTGTACGATCGTTGGCATGTCGATGATGATGGCATGATCTTTGATGCCACGAAGCAGGATCAAGGGTCCGGTCTCACGAAGAAGGTTATTGACATTGTGTCTCGCCAACTTGCTGATGCTTCGGCCTGGGGACTAGGAGTTCTGCAAGAGAGTGACCTTGCGGCTTTGGTCCCGCTGCTTTCTAGAGCCTCAGGTCAGCCGGCAAGCACAGGCATAGACTTTGACCTCAAGTTGCGAAGCTGGTCTAAGAGACCCTGGGAAGGCTCGCGGCTGGTAAGGCTGATGGAGCGGGCTACGCGCGCACTAATGCGGCAGTGGTACTGTGATAAGTATGTTCAAGGACTGGAGACGGCATCTGAATACAAACGACCTCAGCTACCAGCCAATCTCACGTTGCCATCCGCCCCGACGGTTCTGCCTTTTCACACCTTCACTTGTCCTCTGACGGCCAGGGACATCCGTATGATATCTCAGCGCAACGCCTTTAGGATCTCTTGTTCAACACTCCGCTCCCCATGGCTACCCAGCACGGTCTATCCGCCTCCGCCTCCACCATCGCCTCATCTAAACATTGGCTACGTATCCTCGGATTTTAACAACCACCCCTTAGCCCACCTGTAAGATATATTTCTCTGCTCATGTGTTGACACCTGCGCGAAGCTCCATATACTGATATATTAAATCTGTGCAGAATGCAATCTGTTTTCGGGTTTCATGACACAACTCGAGTCAAGGCATTTTGTTACGCTACAACAGCGAGTGACAAGTCAATCCACCGCTTGCAGATCGAGCGGGAGGCACCGGTGTTCCGAGATGCAAGTAATTGGACTTCCGATAAGTTGGTTGAACAGATTGTGGAAGACAACATTCATATCCTTGTCAATCTCAACGGCTATACCAGAGGCGCTCGCAACGAAATCTTTGCTGCAAGGCCGGCTCCAATTCAGATGTCGTTCATGGGCTTTGCCGGAACGCTGGGCGCCGAATGGTGTGACTATCTACTTGCGGACACCACTGCCATCCCGCCCGAAACCTTACGGCCTTGGCGTGGCAACCTCACCGTCGGCGATGTCTTTGAGGACAAGACTGAAGAAGGCGATGGCGATTGGATGTATTCGGAGAACATCATTTACTGTCGAGACACGTTCTTCTGCTGCGACCACGCGCAGTCTAGCGACCCTGACGAACACAAGGTGTCGTGGGAAGACGAGCAGCGGCGGCGTTGGAAGATGCGCAAGGAATTGTTTCCCGACTTGCCCGATGATAGTATCATCATGGGAAACTTTAACCAGCTATACAAGGTTTGTCTTATCTCTGTTTCCCCGCCAGTGGCATGCCTGACGTAAAAGAAAGATTGACCCTACAACATTCCGTACATGGCTGCGCATCCTCTCGAAGGTGGACAATGCTATTCTATGGCTTCTGCGGTTCCCCGAACTTGGAGAGACAAATCTTAGGAGGACCGCGGAAGCCTGGGCAGGACTAGAGGTTGCCAAACGAATCGTCTTCACCGACGTAGCGCCCAAGAACCAGCATATATCCCGAGCGCGCGTCTGCGACCTGTTTCTCGACACTCCCGAGTGTAACGCGCATACTACGGCTGCAGATGTTCTGTGGTCCAGCACGCCACTTCTGACATTACCGCGGTACCCGTACAAGATGTGTTCGCGTATGGCAGCTTCAATATTGCGGGGCGCATTGCCATATGGCCCCAAAGGTGTTGAGGCAGCAGAAGACCTCATCGCTGGCAGTGAAGATGAGTATGAAGAGTTCGCTGTCCGACTGGCAAAGGGCCTCTCGTATCGCATCAGTCACGGCGGCTACGGTGAGGGCCAGGGCCGCCTGGCAACTTTGCGCAAATTGCTTTGGGACAGCAAGTGGTCATGCGCTCTCTTCAACACAAGACGGTGGGTGGCTGACCTTGAGCGTGCTTATGATGAGGCATGGCGACGCTGGGTGACAGGTGAAGATGGAGACATCTACCTGTAGAAGCCCCAAAACTTTACCACGACCATGGACATGGCGATGCTGACGAAATTTTCTCAATAATGTAACGAAGAGTTCGCGCCCAGCGATTCTATTTATCATAGGGGTATGGACTCGTTTGAGGAGGAGTCGCTGTGCGTATCATTATGTCCCCTTCGGCTCTGGCTCAGGATTCCGATCAACGCGGAGTCATTATGGCGGCAGACGGTGGAGTTTTGTCTTCTCAGTTGACTTGAATACTGGCTAGTCTCCAGACATTGGCGATGAGAGTTTAAATGAAGCAAGTCACAGTTGGCATAGACGTCTAGTTACGGAGGGTTACAATTGTTCGGTTGATACCGCTTTTTTGTCTTTATTCAAAGAAAACCTACGGGCAGTCCCCATTCATTTCAGTCGGGGACTTGGCGTTTGAAGGGAAGCCCAGAGCGGGCTATGATGTATATAAACAATACCCGGTGCCTCTTTCCTCGCTGATGCGAGACGTGAGGCCCTTGCGATCCATTTGTTTGATTTGATTCTACTTGCTACGGCTAAGTAAGCATGGACAGGCCTGCCCCTGTTTTATTTCTGGTATTTTTGGCACCGACTGGCCATTCCTTCACTTTGGAAAAATCTTCATGCGATCTTGTAACACTGACGGTGGTATCCAAACAAGCAACTAGTCCATCAATGGTGCACTATATGTACACAGAAAAGAACAGATCGCGAAAGCATGGGCGCCTGGGAAAATGACCGTTGGTGGTGGTGGTGATCACAGCGCTTTAGGATGGACTATTGTTACAAATGTCAATCCCCGCTAGATGGAAAATGAAGACAATAACAGCCTGTTTGAGCCGGGGCCATGAGCGAGGGCAAACATGCACTTGTCGTGACGGCCGGCCGCGGATAAATAGCAGCAGCCAGGTAGTGGAAGAAAGACCATCCACCATTGCCGACTGACATGAACCACGGATAATCAGTTCGGGATTGAATGTTCTCGCAAGTACGCCAATAACAAACGCACAACGGCCTTGATTTCTCCCTCGGCATGGCTCATTGGCGTTCTGTCAACGACCCCACCCCCTTCCTCACACCCTCACATCTCTACCCTGCCCACCAAAAAGTGTCCCAGCAGGCTCCAGCCAAATATTGACCGTGCCAGTCTGGGATTCGTTGACTCGTTCCCATCTACTATAAGAAAGGAAGCAGAGACAAATAAGATAAGAAAAAAGAAAAAAGAGGGGGGTTCCCTGGCGTGAATTAACAGTACATATGGTCGGTTCCAAGGAACGACTCTATCCCAAGACCGCGGCGCTCCGTATTGGAAATCTGACTGCCAGCACCGGGAACCCCCCCTGCGAAAAGATACAAACGTCGACTTGGGATAATGGCAAGGGAGACACCATGAGATAGGTGGGTTGACGAAGAAGAAATAGGGAGACGGGCAGAAGCACCTTACGTTCTTCCGGAGTCAGACAAAAGAGGGAGACAGGACGATGAAAGCAATAACACCACAATTGTATCCAGGCGGAGCGATGAAAACGGCTCCGTAGATGTTCCTTGGGTAAATCAGGGCACAGAGCCATGCTAGGAGGATACAAAATTCTGGTTGCCCATGCTGACCGATAAACTGACCATCAGCATGCCATGAGCTGCTAATAAGACAGAAACAACACCAACTAGAGAAGTTATCATGAACGACGACGGCATACAACATGGAAAATCCAACGTCCCTGCCACTGGCTTCTCAAGCAGCTGGAACGGTGGCTTGCAAAGCCAAAGAAGCAACCAGCAGTCGTCCAGTAGGAAGCGATGCCGTTGTGTACTGGAATTATGGTGGCATGGCAGCAGACAAGTGCGAGACATGAAGCACAAGTCTTGTCATTATCGTATTGTGGATATATGGTTTTTATCTCTTACTCCACGCCATAGCGCTTTCGGCCGTTACAGGGCTAAGATCCATGTTCTCATCCAACAGTGACCGATACTCGGGAACAAACGCCTATCCCACACAGCCTGGCAGAGTGGACATCGCCCTGTAGCGCCCACAAAGTTGGATCCTTTTTTGAGGGAAGGAATAGGGACAAGGAGTAAGAGCGCCACAGGAAAGGTAAGATCACATCCGAGAAACCATTGGGCGTGTCATGGTGACGTTTTAAGAATGTGGGAAATGAGGTGGTCTTCTTATCATTATAACAGTTTGGGGGTGTCACTGGGGTGCCTTTAGTCACCACCTATGGCTGCGTCAGAAGAAAGAGGGGCGTGAGAGACACATGGCCACTGGTGTATAAACCAGTACGCCCGTTGCACGTCACTTGCCGCCCAACAGCATATGTCGTGTAAGAGTATAAATGTTTCTATCTGAGGGGTGCTCGTCGACCCGCCGGCCGGCTGTTTGGGGCAGTCCAAGATTCGAATCCATTAGGATCACCCCCATCAGGCAAGCCATGTGTCATCGTAGGGAAAAACGAAGGTGGCTGGCAGACTAGTTATCCAGAGACGCAACGGACCGTTGGTAGAGGGCCGTTGTGCTGGCACCAACGCCAGTTTGCAGCTTGCGTTAAATTGCTTGACCACCTCCTTCACTCTCTTCCGACATGTCGATGTTAGTCCATCAATGTCCAGTGCTCCACAAAACTGGATGTGAGTTAAATTTCGTTGTTGTGAACGCACGAACGCAAGCATGCAAAAGACGTCAGTTGACGGAAGGAATAGTCGGCCAAAAAGGGTAGACGAATGGCGGTAGTTGCTTCGACAGAGTCAATATATATAAGCAATAGAGGTAGACAAGGGAGCAATCATACATCATGGAAACAAATAGGACAGGGAGGGCCAGAGCGGCCGCTGGCGAGACGGGAGATCGGTGGAGAGGTGCTCCTATGCCACGAGAGTGATAAGATATAAGCTCACCTGCGCTGCTGAGAGAGGGTCGTCATAGAACCAAACCAGCTTTTCCCCCAAGCAGCTTGTGACCGTAGTAGGTATTCATAAGCCGAGGCTGCTACAGTCACCTGCATGGCATGATACCCGATCTCCAGGTCATTCGTAATACTAACGCTGACGCCGGCAGACGGACCGACCAGTGCCCGGGCACAATCCAAGGGGGGAGAGAGGCCCAGCGAGGGCAAGACCAATCACAACCAGGACGGGGCAAGGACAGTTAATGGTCGAAGACGGAGTCGACAATTACCTAGAGTGGGAAAAGAAAGCCGCGGTAAGTTTCGCGAAATGTGGGACAATAGAACTTGCCCGATGGGGGGTTCAATGGAACGTTTGTATCCGTACGAGAGACCCAGGTGCAGATGCAGATGCAGGTTGGTGGCCGAGGAGGCGGGAGACGGAAATCGGTGCATATAGTATCCGTAGTGGAACATCTCGTCTTGTTCCATGGACCCAAAAAGTCGGTAGCCCTCTCTGCCGAGACCCTCCCTGGACGGAGATCATTGGTAAAAAGAGAGAGTAATGCCTGCAGGATGCTTCCCCAATGAAGCGTCAGCCAAGGAGGTAGAAGAGAAAAGATTAAGTATCGAAAAGGGGGCAGGCAAAAATGAGCAAAGCTCGCTTGTCATATCCCTTCATAGCCTAGCCTCTTCAACCAGGGTGCGTGAGTGGCGAGGAGCACAGTATGGGTAGACTTTTCTCTTTTCTTCTTTTTTTTTTTCTTTCCCAAAAAATGAAATAATCTTTTTTTTATTTAAAAATACTGGCTAAGTGCCACACAGAATGGATTGAATGGAGTAGCAAAATCCCACACGCCGGCATAGATGAAGGAAACACAATCCAAGCTGGAAATCGAGGTTGAGCACGTAAGCGTCTTCAAATAATCACACACATGCCCAACGCCGGCCAAAGTGTGGTGCTTGCGTCCTATTCTATGAAGAAAAAGGTCCCCATATTCATATTCCTTGAATGCCACCATCTTTACCAGGTAGATGGCGGACATCGGGACACAGTTAATCGACTTAGTTCGACGCTTCAAGCACTTGCCGGAAGCAACTTGAGCAGAAGACCTCCCTTTCGTAGCAAAGCCGAGCGATGCGGATGGGAAGCGCTAGAACCTACATTTACATCGGCACACTGGAGGGAAGAATGGGAAGGGAGAGCGCTTGTTATGGCAGCGGCGTCTTGCTACTTTGTAGCGTTGGTCGTCCGCCGTCGGCAAGTAGTTGATTCAACGTCCATAACCATCCTGCTGGGTGGGACGCCAACGGCTTTCGGGGCGCAACTTTGACGTAGCTTGGTCATTAGTTCACCGGCTGTCACCGTACTGAGTATCTATTCGCCGGTATACCAAACCCTCGGGCTAAGCTAGACCGGAGGTAGCAGGCAAGCCACATCAGCATGCATGCACAACTAACCTTGAAAAAAGAAAACCGCAACGCCGCCGGATATGAAGGCGGAGGGACATACCTTTTGGGGCATGGCGGTCTAGAAAGTATAGCCAGCCATTCGCCTAGCTGACTATCCGGATACGCTTTGTGGCCGGCTTCTCCATTTGTGTTCAACCCTAGTTGATCGTTTCACAAATGGCATAAGCACATTCATCCCCATGACGCTTTACGGCTTCCCAGGGGCTAGTCTGGGGATGGTGGAAGAAGGCAATAGTTGGTGTTGAAAAGCTACAAGAGTTTTCTCCCTTCCGAGGTGAATCACCATCCTTCGATTCATCTCACTCATTGGTTGGCTGACGAGAATCATGAACCCCGGACACTGACTGTACTACCCAGCGGGATGTTGACAAATAGCCTGGACGGAACAGAAGGCCGTTCAGTTTTTTACAACAAACGAGACACTGCGTTCGGCACCGGAGAGCTTGAAAGAATCCAGAATCGAGTTAGCCCGGCGGGAGTTTGTCGCAGAACATGCCGACACCGACAATATATGCGCTACTGCTGATGATAATTAGGATGAGCGATGAACATATATGCTGGACACCCTCAACGGCAAACATCAGAAGCCAGATCTTGGTCCCAAAGGAATGGAAATGCGCGACCGAGCAGGTAGCCATGGCTTCCAGCCCCCCCAAAAAAACGAGAAAAAACTACTCAAGCCAGCAAGCATCTATTGCAACAACATTAGCAGCAGGGAGCGCGCGATCCGTCACCATAGACATGGCAACTATTGAGTGACTAGGGGGGTTCCATAGTTACGTACGAAAGCCATCACACCCCTTGTGGTCCCACTACGGAGCGCTCGACTCCTTGACGGAACTAAGGTGGACATGCATGGCAATGTCATGGGGGTGTCGTGGAACCCAGACTATGTAACAGTGGTTCGTCAAGCCTCCGACCCAGTCAGGACTAATCACTTCTCCCAGTGATTGGTACAACTTGTCTCATGCTCGTCTTTGCTTTTTGCGCCCCGCCATCTACGATCAGGTCCCTTCACTGTCAACAGGTCATGTCCGTATCGACGGGAGATGCAGGGCTTTCTTTAATCCAGAACATCCAAGAAAATCCAGTAGTGGACGACGCACCAGCAGCCCCTGATGCAAGGTTCCTGGTGAGGAGCCCATGGAACGGGCGTGTTTCTTCGCGAATATCCGTATCCGTAGGGAGAATGCAAAGAGATATCTATGTTTCGTGATCTGCGATCCATAGGCATGGATAATCCCGTTTGACGGCCTAGGGCCCATTCCACCCATGCTCCCAGTCGGTTGGGTACTATCCGAACCTGGGGTTACCAGGCTTGAGCTTGAGCTCGAGTCTTGCTAAACCGATCGGTCAGCAAGCCAGACAGAAAGGACGGGGTGCATCGAGGAAGGCACAGCGTTGGGCGCGATATGTACCAAAGATTGGAGGCTTGGGTGCTTTGTGCTGAGGAAAAGCCTTTGTAATTTGATTAATCGTGAGGGACTAGGCTGAGCCGGGCGATTGGAGGGTGAGTGAGAGGTGAATTGAAAGCGTCAGCATCCGCATGCGTCGAGGTCTCGATGAAGTCTAGTAACCGCGCACGGCGAGGCACCTCTGAAAGCCTGCATGCATGACGGATTGCAACAGCGGGATACCGATAGATCATCGCTGCGTTTTTCAGGCATCAAGTATTAGATGCATGTGGTCTAGTAGCGGCTCAACCAATGCAGACGGGCAGGAGCGAAGCCAGATTCAGCATGTATGCATTTCAGTCGGCTATACGTGCATACGACGACGATGAGCTGGGGTCGTTGGGATCGTTTCAATCGGGGCATGTCGCGCCGTTCATGGGTACCTTGTCTCACTGGACCGAGGCTGAGATGTAGTGAAGCGGCAGGAGGCGAGCGGGGGGCGGCAGAGTCGTCGAGAAGGACAACGAAGGACAACAAGGGCAGAAGGCACAGCCCCTCGTGCTGACTATGGCGGAGACGGTCTGTCTTGCTGTATTGGCGATGAGAAATAGATGGCTCGATGGCGACGCGATTTTAGATTAACGACTTAATGACTGCGGCAGAGGACGGATTGGGAGGCCTAGCCGTAGCCGGCTGTACAAGGCACCGTAGAAAACCGACGGCGGCAGGTTACGACGCTTCAAGGTGTGGGAAATAAATGCGAGTGTGCCCGTGTTGCTGGTGTCAGGGACGCCATCAGCTCAGGTCCCCAAGTTGTGGTTCAACGCTCTATGGGTGGGGACGGGGGAGACTCTGGCCGTGTTCCTTTCCCTGTGCGTAAAACACCTAGGTAGTACCTACCTACAGTGACGTGCAAAAAGTCTGGGCCCGCCCTCTTATTTCCCTCCAGCCCACACATCTACCCCATCACTTTTACTAAGAATAGGACCATAAAATTGATAATATATATGGCAAGAGTATAGTCAATTAAAAGCTAATTGTTTGTCTATTAGTATTATATATACCATATCCGGGCCTGATGTACAGCTCGTAAGCGCCGCGGTATTGACTCTATAAGACGGTTGATAGTATAAATGCGGGGTGGGCCCAGACTTTCTGCATGTGACTGTACCTACCTTACCCGGGTCACAGGTGCCTTCCGCCGTTGGTTCCTGTCTTGCGGCCCCTACAGTCCAGCTTCGAGTTTTGGTTGGTCCCAGCTGCCAGGAAAGTACGAGTGTGAGCCTCCTCCCCACACATGGTTCCTTTCCCGGGTGCCCAGCTATCTCAACGTTAGGTAGGTAGACCTAGGTAGGGCATCTCACCCCCGGAGGCTCCGTCTCCTATCCCGCATCTGATTGCACCTGGGCAATCTTCTCATCGGAGCCTGACGGGCCAAGTGCGGCCGTGATCGCCTACGCTCGTAGTTCTTTGCATCTCCTTGACATCCTCTACGCTGGATCTCGCATTGTCAGCCACATTAGGCAGGTGGTTCTGACCGCTTGACCCGCTCCTCCATTAATGACCACGAACGGAGGGTGTACACGTGCACAAAGGTATCCAGATACTAGGTAGGTATGGAGCAGGGTTTCTTAGATGCCTTGTGGGGTGCACCTTCGTAGACAGGCATCAGGTTAATTTACAATGCATCAAGACGCTACTGCAACACCAATGGGTAAGGAAGGACCAGGTCGTTGGTAAAGCTGCACGGGATCTGGGGGCAAGTCGCAGCTGAAACGGTGTGAAAAGATAGGGATAACGCCCTGTCGCCGTAGGCCGAATAGCAAGGATACCTAATGGGAAAAGGGGGGGGGGGGGGGGGGGGATAGATTGAATTTTGAAGTCGAAAAAGAAGAAAATAACCCGTCTCGTCAGTGTCTCGCCTCGTCTTGTGCATATATATATATATATGCTTATGAATACCCCACGCCAACTGTGCGTTATAGGTAAGGCAGATAAGGGTGAAAGAAAAGCAAAAACACAGAAGCAAGGAGGGTGAGGGAGCCCAATAGCACGGCTCTCGCCTGACCGTGTTCCTAGGTAGGTAGGACAGGGTACCTATATCTATATGCCCAATATCACTTCATCTTTCACCATCAACCCCATGTACACAGTAGTGTACCTGCCTAGGTATGGATGTACGGATAGCGGCTCGGCGGCGGGCAGGCATGCAGGCAACCCGCAAGCCGAGCTGCAACGAGATGCCTTGCAGATCACCCGTTCCCAGCATCCGTCACCCTGCCAGGGGAACCCGAGGTAGGATTCTCGCCCAAACATGGACGGAACAGAGAACGACAAAGATGGAGGTCGAGAGTAACTTTCCCTCTTTCTGCCGTTGTTCCCCCGACGTGGCCAGATACCTACCTACTCGGTCAAGCAGCAGAAAGAATGCATGCGGCTCACGCAGATGTCATGGTGAGCCTGTGCCTGTCTCTAGATACCCAAGTCGCAACAAAAGAAACGACCGACTCTGCAGCACCGCTGCGTCTTACCAGAGGCATGGGAGCTCTGCGGAAGAGGCAATGATGAGCGTCCGTGTCTGCACTTCCAATTGCATATGCATCCGAGTTTCAAACTGTACCGGTATTTGTGTTTTCAGGTTTGCCTCTTTTCTTCGCCTTTCCTTCCCTTCCTGCAAAGCCTGCTTGATTGCATTTGATCCTCCCCTGCTTCCGCAATCGGCATTGCGTCCCATCTGTGTATCGTCCGGAATCACTGTCGCCATTCATTTAACTTTGGACCCTGGGGAGGCAAACGTTGATACCTTGGCCCGAATTGCATTATGCAGTCTCCCGTCCTGTAAGAGAAGGAGCTAGGACAGTTGCTGGAAGGTGCGGCGAGTGCGAGTGCGCGACGCTCGGCCGCTGACGTTTCCCCGCTCTTGTACCCTACGGGACCGTGCTGTAGATAGGTAAGAAGGTAGGTGTGGTATGTGGGTAGGTAGGTTTGATTATTTTATTCCGTCTTTTCAGCCTACCTTTACCAACCCAACTGGGCTGGACGTGTCTATGCCTGAAACCGCTCTCCGTCTAAGCACGAGTACCTGGCCATACCACGTCATGAGGAAAGGTACCTAGACAAGCCCCTGCCCCCCCCCCCCCCTAACACCCTAACAGCTTCACCACACGAGATCAGGGTACAGACGGCAGACGCGTCTCAATGTCGTGTTCCTCACCTGCTCTCTCGTCGGAATGCTGCCGCAATTTGACATTGCTCGTCCCATCAACAACAGCGCAAAATCACCGTCGTTACATGGTTTTGGCCCTGGCTCTCGGCGAGAGTGATTTGCCAAGTCACATTTGTCGAGGCGAGGGGAATTTCAAATCTTGCGTCCGGAAATGGCCGGCCACCACCGCTCTTGCCGCCTTGCCCCACAGCCCTGGGAACTGCTCCTTGTTCAGTTTCCCCGCCTTGGCCTGTGGTTAATAGACTATGGCTAGCACCCGTTGCGTGCTCAGCCTTCGTGTCTCCTCCTGTCCTTGGGTGCTCCCTCTTCGTGCCCTGCCTACATCGCGCTGCATTTGTCCGGCAAGGGCGAGGCCTTATAGCTCTCTCTCTCTCTCTCTCTCTCTCTCTCTCTAGTACCTAGGCTCTCTAGTACCTGGGCCAACCTCGACTCTCGCCCGCGACCAACGATAAGTGTACCTCCCTTCGTCGGCGTTGTCTACCTTGGCCGAGCTTAGCTTCCCGTTGTGGCTTTGTACGAGTCCATCTCGCCCGGCTTATCTGAAGCCTCCTCGCCGGTATTGGTACTGCCCCGAGAACAAGCCTCGAGCTGGCGGGGACGAGGCTCTAGAGATCTGGCTCTATACCTGCGCTCACGTCGATACTGGCACAGTGCTGGATGGGTGCCTGGTGATAAGTACTCTCGAGACATGTATGACGAATGCCTGTGAGATTTGTGGGTCCTAATTCGTACAAAGTGGGAGACATCTTGGACGAGACACAGCCCCTAACTGCACATCAAGGACGTCGCAATGGCGGCTTTGAGGCATCGTTCTGGGCCGTTTTTGAGTGTCAGCTTGCGTTAGTCTATCCCCCACAGGTTGTGGGCGCTCTCCCCGCCCCTCTCTTTGCGTGTTATGTTTAGGATAAAGCACGAGGATACCTGCCTCCGTACCCGGCACCGAAGATCGAATCATTTTGCCTGATGCCGGTATTACAACCTGGTGCTTCAAGCTTGCCCAAACGCCTGATGCACAGTCTATCTGCTTTAGGGTTGGTGCTGGCTCTCCCCAAGGCATGTCCGAGAAGACGACGCCTTGCCATGTCCATTACCGCCACGGGACGCTAGCATGGCAATTGCCGTGCGCATTCCAATCTCGATGTCTTTTCCTCGTCGTCTCTTCTACGCAGTATGTGTACGGTCTGTGAGGGATCTCTCGCCTCCACGCCATGCTCCATCCGGCAATCCATGAACAAGCACATCGGGGCGGGCTCGGGTTATGTCAGGGCCAGGAACACGCGTGGGCAGCTGAGGAGTGGACCCAGTAGGCGGAGCGGAACGGCTACGTACCATGGAGCACACGGCTTAGGGTGTGCTCGGCCGCTGGTCATGATTAGTGATTAGTGGCCAGGAGGGACTTTTCGTTACTTGTGCTACCCCAACTTTATGCTCGTTGTACCGCCGAAGTGGGTTAGCCCATGGCCAGCTCACCGCTTGCTCAAATAGTCAAAGGTTCGTGATGTTGAAGTACCGGTATTACCTAACTTCACGCATTCAGGCTGGCCACTAATCACACTGGCCACCGATTTCTCAATGCCAGGATTAACGGCAGAAAAGCTTAATTTGAATAACACTTTCCTTCTTTTGGTGGTGGGTTGCGATGGATTCAGAAAGATACATTGCACAAATCTGACTTTCTAGTTGCAGCAAGCATCCGGCCCCGGATACCCCTCGGAAGCAGTTATGCACGCCGGAAACCTCTCCTGGCCACTAATCACTAATCATGACCAGCGGCCGAGCACACCCTTAGGTACGGATGAGGCACTGACAATGACCATTTCCGACCAAGAAGCTTGGCCCACTTTGTGTCCAGTGACCGTTGACGTTGACGTTGACGTTTGTCGACGCTTTGATTTTCCTTCCCTTGGTCAGGCATCTAGGGAGTGTAGGTAAGTTACCTAAGTAGGTAAGGTAAGGAAGAAAGGTCGGCCGGCTCTTTGGTCCGTTCCTTTCTCGAACCCAGAACCCAAGACCATGGCCGATCCGATTGGCTTATCATGATTTGGCGGCACCGTCCGATGGAGAAGAAAAAAAAGCAATCTTTTTGGATTTGCAATTACTCTGCCGCGCCATCCCCGTTTTAGCAGCACACCATCCTTATTCGTGCTTGATGACAAAAACTGATTGGAACCAGCCAGCCGTCAAGTAGATGGCCTGGCAGCCGGCCTTCAGATGCCGCCCCGGCCACCAAGTACCGGTAACATTACCCATCGTGCACCAACACCACACCATGCCTACCTTTGGTACCTCTCGCTCCTCCCTGGACGGACGGACGGACGCAGTAGGTAACACGGACGCTCGCTGACACACGACACGATATTGCATTCTTCCCCTTAAACCAGCACCCGACTCTCCCGTCCCCTCTTCTCTCTCTGCGCTGAGGCTCGGTGCTCTCCTCAATTGTTCGGCTGACAAGGCTGGATTGGACCGGGACGGTTCAGGCAAGGAAAGGGGTGGGGAGTGAATTCCCTTGGCTATTGACTGACTGAAAAAGGGACGTGGGCTGGAGGACATGGGAGAAAGAAAGCCAGGACAAACAAGAAGGAGGGAGGGACTGGGCTGTTCGGGCCAATCAATTCCACCAGAAACGGCGTTTACATCCATGTCCACGTCCCCAACCAGACCCTTTGACCCTGACGTTCGAACCTCGTTTGTTTACCATCATCTTGCCGCGCGCCCCCGCGAATGCGCTCACGAACAAGTTGGAACATACCCAGACCGACAGAAGAGGGATTGGATCGTTACGCAGTGTAGCATACGCCGAGCAGAGCGAATGGGCGTTACTACCGGTCCTCGTGCCGCGTTACGGACACATCGTAGTTGCGCAATGCCGACACCCAATCGCCCTCCACGCCCGTTCCTTTCGAGCTCCACACTCGGGCACCTTTTCCACATCTTGCCAGCCTCGACCAGCTTCGACGCCCCCGGCATGATGATCGCCGGTCCGCCGCCCCTCCCCAACCGGCCACGTTCCACTGGTCGCTCACCCCAGCCAGCTGAACGCGGCCCTCCCGGGACGATGAATGGATGGGGATTGGGATACCTACCTAGTAATTCGTCTCAGCGTCACGCTGCCCCCCAGCTGCCGCGCCTGCTTCCGTCGCTCAACCAGACTCTGATGCTGCTGCCGTTTCCAGCAGGCCAGGTCCCGATGCACGCCGAACCCACCCCTAAGCAATCTTTCCTTTCTCTCTGCCAAGTACCCGAAGACAGAGACAATTGAAGATCTACCCATCTACCTTGGGCTGGCTTGCCCCGTCAATGCCCCTAGGACACGTCCGCACCAAGAACAGATACAGAGAGGCAGCAAGTCGATGCGCGCCCCCCCTTGTCGATTTTGCATCGCATCCGCATCTCACCGCGTTTACACATGGCGCAGGGTACACTGCATCCTGAGGGCCGCGCACCATAGGCTCGTAGATTCTGCACCGGTGCACCCCGCCGTCTTTCCGTGTGTCCATGTTGTCTGTGCCTTGTGCGACTCGCATTCGCCATGCGGACCCTCTTCGATCTGGGATATGCAGCTTGGCCAGGCACACGAGCCTCGACCTGTCAATCTTTCGAAAGGTTGATGGACTCGGGTTCGGGTGCCTTCACTGCAGGACGAGAATATATGTCACCTCCTGGGCGTATCAACCGTTCCTTGATCTGTGTCCAAGAGTAACAAGGCGCAAGGACAGCGACGACAGAGAAGAAGTAGACAAGGTTTTAACCTTTGGTCATTTGTGAATTCCAAAAATACAAATGCTCCCTGACCCGGTCAGATCGACGAGAAGCATGTCGTCAGACGAGATGCTGGAACAGCAGGACGAGCCGTCAACGACAATGCCCGAGCGCTCGACATTATCCGAATGCGCTTATCTATGTTCGTCGGTTAGACGTCCCTTGACGTGGACCTGCATGATGCTGCCCTTGGTTCGCCGGAGTGGTTTGGTATGGGCCGCTCATCTTAACTCGGTTGGTTCAACTACATGCTCCATAGGTGTTCAGGTACGGACAGCACCGGCGAACACATCAAGTCACATCCTGCTGCAGCCAACAGCCAAGAGAGACTTGGAGGAGACGACCAAGTGTACTTGAACCCCGCCGAATGCGCCTGGTGTGGTGTCTCAAGTAGTTGTATCTTATACCTTTCTACCGCGGAAAACAGTTGGACCTCTGCGCGATCGAGGCCCTCGTTCTCACCATGCCTTATCCGTCTCTCCAGCAGCGCCCGATTCCAGCAGCGGCACATACCCTGGCATCATCCTAGCATCAGATCAGAGAATCCTGCCCCGCTGGGTCCATGGCGTTGCTTGGCTTGGGTTGTGGCTTGAGCCGGGGCCGCTACAAGGACCAGGGACAGGGCCAGTAGCAGAAAAAGACCTTGCAAGGATCATCTTCATCGGCAGCGCAAACGGGACCGGGATAGGGACAGGCGACAGGGACCGGGGTGAACGAAGAGAGACAAATACCTGTACCATGGTACGAAGTGCGGGCTTACAAGAGTTGGGGAGTGTTTCGAGAGCAGATGGCCGTAAGAGTAAGCCGGGTCAGTCGAAAGAGTGTTTCTCATCGCCTGGTTCTGGCTGTGGTTCCATGAACAGGACGAGGCCCCCTCCCCCGCTCACCCACCTTGAACCACTGCATCCTGTTGCTTGCTGCGATGGTTCTACTGCGTGTGTTGCAAAGGGACGGTGGCCGCTCGCTCATCTATTGGTGCCGGTCACTCATG